ATTCTTTATTGTATCTGTCTTTATAAATGATACTATTTTGATCAAATTACTGTTACCACTGTTGTCGCCACTACTGTTGCTGTGAATTTTGTCATCAGAATCTGTTCTGCATGTTAACGGTTAATGCTAAGTTCAACCCAATTGAATTCAGGTACCAGAAAAGTTTTCTGTTTTTTTTTTTAATGTAATCTACACCCTGACTTATCGACGGCATCAATAGCGACATCATCTGGTAAACGATTACCACTACTTTTTTTTGTTTTTGGTAATTACCGCTACTGCTGAATTGACTGACGTTTACTGAAAGGAAAAGAAAAGGGCGAAGAAGAAGTGGAAAACAAGAAAAAAAATTATATATAGGAACAAAGATTTATGCTTTTTATTAAATATTCTCGGTGAATTAAAAAATATGTTCTAATATCTGCCTTTTCTGAGACGATTTTTAAGTCTTTGTTTTTCTTCTCTTTTTCACATTTTTTCGATACTTTTCGTACCCGTTCTTAACAAATTTTATCAATTGATTATTATAAGGTTTTAGAGCAATGAAAAAAGTTTTATTAATATCATATCTTTATTCTACATTTCTTCTCTTTTTGCTGCTGCTGTTTTTGGTTCTGTTCCTGTTCTGTTCGAAATTTTGGTTATTGTGAGATAGTTTTTATATAGAAACTGCATATTAGCAGATCCATCTTTTATTCCAGCAACATCTGAATACACTTTTCAGAAAGAAAGTGTTCATGAATGGTTAAAAGAGACGTCAGAATTGGCCAAAGATGTAGTGATGGAAGACGAATGGAAACAAGTACCACTGGAGCGTGACGTTTGTAGTAAGGAACCAGAAACTGGGGCGGGTACTACCATTATGGAAAGGTCATTATGTCCATGGCAGTGGAGGTTACTTTTTCTTGTCTTTTTGTTCACCTTACAGCTAAAACTTGATCTTTTGTACGCATACGACTTAGAATGGGCTTAATAAAATGCCATTTACAGTTGTTTGTTTTAAGAACGCATTTTTATCGCTTTTTTACGTTCGTCATTGTAAACAGTAAAATACTGTTGAGTTCTGTTTTGAGGTTTAAAATTGTAAAAGGCAAATATCATTCGTAAATTACTGGCTGTATATTAGGGTAAACCGTGACGAGGACAGAGAACCAAAAGAGATTCTGGAAGCTTATTGCCTGTGCAGGAAGAGTCGTGGTAACTCGGGATCGTTATGTACTCCGATAATGCGAGAAGTAGCAGTACTTAAGAAGGTTTTATGCGATCCAGTAATACGACATTATCAGTACGTGAAGGCTATACAGACGATTACCGTTGGTTGTCATTCGGTGTTACCTCGCGTTGAACTTGCTTCACCATTCAGATATTTTAGGAATCCTTTTGGGCAGGAAATCTAATTGTTCACTGATATCAAGCGGTAGTTTCTTGGAAATTTTTAAAGTTTATTACAATTTAACGGGAAATTAGCTGCTTTATGCGACCGAAAACAAACACAGAGCAAAATAGGGGAAGCAAATAAATTTTCTTTTCTTTGAACAGTTTTTTTTAGAATTGCGGCAATTATAAACTACAAGACTAAAATACTTTTGGAGGTTACAAAACTGTAAAAATATTCGGGATTTTCTGAACAGTCTAATTCGATGTTTAATAGGGCCTAATCAAACTTTCCTTGGTTCTTCTTTTTTAACCTTTCTCTCTAAAAAAAAGTAGTTATAATAAATTGAACAGTTTTAGTCTGTATACGGTATTTACACCAAAAAATTATAGTGTATGAAATGCTTATTAAGTTTTATTAAATTATATAGCTAAAATAAATTGAAGAAAAGTTTAGAATACTGATTTATAAAATTAAAAAAAGGTACTGTGATTATGATAAATTAAATTAGTGAGCATTTTTTGGTCTAAAAAATTACTTTTATGAAAACAAAGCTCCCTATTAGCGGGTTTACTGCTCATAAGACTTCTTTCTCTTTTTTTTCTTTTTTAATAGTCTTAATGATTGTATAGTGTATATCTAGAAGCAGATTTTAAGTGTCGCTAAAATGTCTTTTTTTGATAGTTTGATTAGCCATATTCTTTGTTACACTAACAAAAAAAAGAAAAGTTTTTGCTTATTAATAACTGTGATTTATTGTTCATTGTCTTTCACGGAAAACAGTAGCCGAACCAGTGTTTTTAGATACTGTTGACCATCAACTGTGTTACGGGTAATTGAAGTGAATACAGTGTTGTCTAGTTGTTTTTCTTTTCTTAATTTTTTTTACATTTAAAGTCTTTAGTCTCAACTTTTCATCAGTCTTTCATGTATTTTACAGTTGGACCAAAAAATTAATGTTTTTGCTTCAGCTGTTAAACAGATGGATAGATGTAAATATTGATGATACGAAACTGTTATGATTTAATGTCGTCTTGAAGAACTGTCCAAATCTGTATTTATTTGCTGTCTTTTTTTCAGGGTTTAAGGATTGACTCATATCTTGCAATCATTTTTTTTCTGTTCCTCTGTTATTTCTTTATTTGTTTCGGTCATTTATAGAATCATTTAATAATCTAATTGGACAGCAGTTTTTTTTTATTGTTTTTAAATAAAACCTTGTTTTTTTGCGCAACATTTTTTTGAATTGTCTGAAGCGACATTATTGCAATGGACAAAGAAAAAGAAGACACTGTTCTTGAACGGTGACGTCTGCAGTTGTGTAAAGCAAAAAAAGGCAACCAAATTTCAATATAAAATAAAAATTTTAATCACTTTGAATAGATGACAACACTAAAATATTTATTAAGTCATAGTGGCAGTTTCAAAAATTATTATTTTGCTTTTGTTATTTTTTGTATTTCTTTTTTTTTAAAGTTTTTTAGCTTTGTCTTTTTTTGCCTTTGTTCTGATGTCTGTTTCGTTAACAGTTTATGATTGAAGAAAAATGGGAAGATAGACGAGAAGAAAAAGAAGAATAGAAAAAAAAAGTAAATGCACACACATGTTCTCTGATAAACCATTTTTATCTATCGATTTGATAGTAGTAAGAATATGAAGATTGGTATAGATTGAAATTGTTTAAATTGAGCAGACAGACCAACGATGGACATCGGTTTTAAATGACTGTAACTGGAAAAACATAGTGGTAAAATAAGAGTCCTTTTCAGTTTTGGATTATATATTCAGTGCCACCAAAAACCCGACGAAGAACGAATGTGATGGGCATAGTATCCTACTGCTTTACCGCTGTTCTATATGTCGACTTTGTTCTTTGATTTCACCTATGCCCATTCCCTGCACCAGCCTTCGTCTTTGTTAGACTAAGCACCGACTAAGGAACATCAGTGAAATTTTGGTTCTTTTAAGCGCTGTTTAAAGATTGTTGATTAACCTACCAATAATATACCATAAATTATATATAAAAATACTAAATATGTATAAGCATAAATGTTGCTGCTAACAGTGTAAGCACACAGCACCTGTAGAGAAGAAGGAAAAACGAAAAATAAAATAATGACAGAAACAATAAATAGTAAAAAACAAAATAAAATAGAAGTATGAAACTTTTTTCTGTTTTATTTATAACTGTACCTAAAAACTTATTTATTTACTACTTATTGATTGTTGTTTCAATTGTAATAAATTTTACAACCATCAAACATTAATTAATTTTTCAATCTTTATTTTCTCTTTTAAATTTTTCTGTTTCACTTATTAATGGTCATCGGCGTTGAAATGAAAGTACAGATATGAAAGTGAAAATTTTTTTGAACAATTAATTTGGCATTAATGTTTGAAAAATGCCAAATGCTGAAAATTTTGTGATAAAACTGTTTGTTCATTCAGATGAATTGGCAATTCAGCTTCCGCGTAACGGTCATCATTGTCCAACTGGAAAAGCACTTCCAGTTTTGTACTTTCAATTTTTATTTCCAATTTCTACTGATTCTACTGTTCTGTTCAGCTGTCAGCTGTCTTATGTGTGCACTATTTTGGTTATTTAGTTGAATAAGTCTATTGTACAATTATCTATTCATCTGCCTGATAATCGAGAGCCGCCGGTAAAATTTTACGCATAACAAGACCCAGCAATGACAATTTTCAGAGAGAAAGTTGGAAGATGCGCCAATTGATTTTTGTAGTTTTTCTGAAAATAAAAAAAAAAATTAGTGACAGTTTTTAGAGCTGTCTGTTTGCTCACTTAAAGTGATCAGTTTTATAAGACGAGGAAAATGAAAAGAAGATGAAAACTGGGTTTCTGGGCTTCTCGATAAATTAGAAGAAAAAAATGAAATAGCTCAGGAAAAACAATGATCATTTTTCTCTTTCCTTTTTTCTTTTTAGATTATTCATGACAATCGATTACCTTTTCAATATTGTATTGTATTTTCTTCTTCGGCTATGCAACAAAAAGATGAAACAATTTATTAGTGCCCTGAAAAAGAAAGCAAAAAAAGTGAACTTGATAAACTTTTTAAAACCTCCGCAACAGCAAAACAATAATTGTTGTGAAAATTGAGAATGGTGAAAAGAAAAACGAAAATAAAACTGAAAATAAATTTTTTCTTGGAGATGCAGCATTTTTAGTATTATTATTATTATTATTATTTTTTTTTTTTTGCAAAATTTGAAATTAGATAAGTGGCAGAAGAAAGATTAGTTTTATAAAGACAAAAATAAAAAAACAAAAGTTTTTTCTTGCCGACAAAAAAGCATTTTATGCTATTAGAAATAGGAAAAAATTGCTGTTCTATTCGCTATAAACTGTTTTTTTTTCATTTGTTCAGTTACTTCGCCAATTTGTGGCATTGGTATTTTTTGCTAAAATACTTAACGGTATTCACCAATATTTAACCCATTTATAAACAGTTACTGCAACCACCAACAGCAATGACAGAAGCAACGATAAAATAGCATTAGTTCTGAAATAACAGTTGAGGAGCATTAACAGAATTTCTGAACATGGTGTCCACCATTATTCATACAAAAGTAAACAGTTATCATTTTGGTAAACCGAATAATCTAATTGTATACTCTGTAAGCATCTGCATTTGAACAGAAGCCTAGTCTAACATTTTTGATCACGTTGTTTATGGTGTATCCTGAAACCCGAAAAGCATGAATGTGATATCAACGTTTCACAACTGTTCACGAGAACACTTATTGATGAAAAAGTGTTGAAAGGCAGGAAAGAATTAACGTTGAAAGTCAGTGACTGCCTGTTACTTTTCCGGTTTATTCTTCTACTTTTTGCTTTTTTCACTTACGAAAAAGAATTTTTGCATTTAGAAGATTTAAAATGCTATTACTTAACTAGGTCAAGAAAAATTTTTCACTGCTTTTTTATAATTTATACCACTTTTTTTTTTTTTTTTGCAAAATTTACAACTTTAGACACATCAAAGTGCAAAAATAATTTTCCAGATAGATAAACTTGCTTGCAGAATATTTTTAATGTTCAGAAACGAATAAAGAAACTAAGAGCTGTTAGGCGTAAGCTTAGATAATTGTTGCTAGTTTTGATCAACTATTTCGCTGTATGACAAACAGATAGAATACTTTCTTTTAAACAGTCAAAAGTAAAAGCTTCAGCTTTTAAAATTCATTTATGTAACTCAACAGATGTTCTTTGGAGGTGATAGCAGTTATAGTTTGACTGCGGTACTGCAAGAAATTTGTGTCGTTTACATATCCAAAATAAAAAACTTTTTTTCAAAGCATCTTTGAGAGTACAATAAAAAACTATAAATTTATTGTTGATTTATTCAGAGACTATTTACCTGCACTTATCAGGTATTACATTTAATAAATAATATATAGTAAATATATGAACAAAGAAGAAAAGTAATAGTAAAAAACTGAGGTCTATTTTAATCTATTTTGTATGTAATTAAAAAAACGTTCAACAATTTCATTAATTTCTTTTCGTAACTTGACAAAGAAAAACTAATCTTTTTTTTTTTCCGGAACAATATCTGTCACAGTTATCTGAAATAACGCTGACGTAATAGAGCTTTTGCAAATTAGACGTAAAATTTACATCTGAATACACAGAAAAAAAATAGGAAAAAAAAGAATTAATGCTTTCATTGTGAATGTTTAGGTGTAAAATTTGCAAATTACAACTAACAAAAAGTAGCAACAAATAACCAAAATCAAAAATGATAACACATTGTAATTTTATTAAAATGATTGTTAAACATTTTGAAAGTTCTACGCACAAACGAAATATATACGCTTTACGAAAGATGCTATAATACTTTATACAAGCTTTTTAACCGTTTTGGAAACAGTAATTCCAGTGTCAAACATGGATTGCTAAAATACGTAAGGGCGAACCAGTGAAATTTAATTGGTGGTACAATAGTTTCCTTGTCCAACTGATAGGCACAGAATGTGACTTCAGAATAACGGGCCCAG